TATCTATCCTTAAAGTGGTCGACTTCTTTATGTACTTTTGCATGTGAAAATCAGTTCCCAACCCTTGAAGATAAATGTTTTTATACTCTTAAATTTCTGGATATTCTTTGAAATTTCAAACTATCTCAACATTCCAAAGTTCAAGATCTATATTTTAGGATTTAAATGATGAGATCAGGAGTGCCCATACACCGAAGGACTATGGCGCATGAACCACTCTCATAAAAATTGTATTGCTTTCCTCTACCTGAAAAAATATAGAATCATGAAGTTTGCAGTTCATTTAAAATTACACAAGTGATCTGTTCCATATTTTCTTTTTCCCTTTGTTCGAAAGTTCCTCCGAATCGAAACTTCAAAAAGATATAGTTATCTCAAAAAAATTATAATCCAGCAAAGATGTGCCTCAAATATTCGTAACTAACCTCACAAAAATGGATTCTCTAAAATTCATAACCCTTTAAAAATGTGCACCCTTAAAAAACGCTCGATTCTGTGAAAATATTCACCTTTGAAAATTTTTATGACGCAACTTGTACACGCAATCCTCTTTTAGGCCCCCTCTGAATAACTTATAACACCAACGAAATGAGATTTCACAAATTTATAATCTATAATCTAATTTTTTTCATACAATACAGTTTATAAATTTAAGTGATTATCTCATATATATATCGAATATCTTATAATATATATACATCTCGGCAAATTTATGTAAAATATTACAAACCGATTCCAGTGAGTAATCTCAGGATAAAGTGGATAGATAAAGAACATATAAATAAATAAATTAATAAAATCTCATAGCTTAATTTTCAGTATCAGCCATGTATATTTATAAATAAATAAGTATATATATATATATATATATATATATATATATATATATACTTATTTATTTACTTATTAATTCGTAACTGAATGATCATTCCACATGGCTTCAAACATTCAAATACCTTAATATACCTATTTCTGGCATAAAATTAAAATATTTATACAAATTAAGAAAATCCCTCATTCGGCTTCTTTTCAACGTCCTGCGGAGAGCTTGCGAGTGTAGGTGCCATTTCCGTCTTCTCTATAAGTTTATTATTTTTTTCAAGCCATCAAATTACCAGCAAGTTGAGCGTATGTTGAACACAACTGTACTGTAACTGTTATAATGATGAACTAAAGTGATTTTAAAGTGAGTATATTAATCGATGCAATTTTTTATTTTGTTTGGATCCATTACATTAGAAGGTTTCCTTGCAAAATCACCCTGGTGGTTACTTAGTTGATTACTTGGTTGATTAGGCTCTAATCAAGGAAAAATAATACATAAGAATGATTAAAATGGTGATGTGCAATGATCACAATTATAATATGGTGGGAAAAGTATGGCTTATTTCCTCTAAGATTAGACGGGAGATAAATGATTTCGACGAGTTTGGAACTGGCATTATGGCCGCCACACGCAATAGTGACGCTGCAGAAACATTGATATAATTTCTTCCTGGTTCACTACCAATCGTAAATTTTATGCTTAACGTGAGCATAAAAGTACATAAAGCTTTAAAGCACGAATACCTCCCTCTCCCGTGACGTCATTTAAGGAACTGAAGTTACATAAAGAGAGCTCGAAGTAATTAGGACAATTAGTTTTTAATCTTTATTGGGATATGGAATAGCTGAAAATAGGAACCTCATTTTTTTTTTAAACTTGTTTATTGAAAATATTACAATCTGTCTCAGGATATTTATAATAGTGCTCTGCTTGCTTTCCCTCCACATGTGGAGGGATAAGTATGGTTCGGAGTTCCCATGGCCGACTGTAAATAGTATAAATAGGCATGCCTGCATCTAAGATGTTTATTTTCGTTACTTTTTTTTTTTTTTTTTGTTTTTTTTGTTTGATTCTATTTTATTTATTTATTTTCATTCTATTATTTATATTTTCTTACTTCACTATGATATTTTATTTTGTTCTTTTATAGTTTTATATTATTTGAAATTAGCTTATTTTTTTTGAATTGGTAAATATGGTGTGAATGTGCTCTCAGAACTCTATTATAAATGTCCTTTATTGAGACAGATTGTAATATTTATCAATAAACAAATAATCAAATAAAAAAAAAATAGTGCTCAGAGATCACCTTCACACTCTATGTACAATAAAAAAAACATTTTTCAGAAAAATAATATATATACAATAAATAAGTATAAAATAACCTATAAATAAATAAATAAAAAAGAACTCATATGCACTACGGAAGGAACCACATTAAGATTGAAAATTTAATAGTATGATAGTATGTACCAGCAGTGCCAGTCTTAGGAATTGGTCACCCCCGGGCCATGACGTCATCTTTCCCTCTTAAAAAAATTAATTTATTTTCAAGCTTTTTTATACTAGGTAATATTTAAAATTTATTTCATTTAATATTTTTCTAATACATTTTGTTTATTAATATACTAAAGTTAATTATTTTAATATGTTTTGTATATTAAAATAATTATATATATATATATATATATATATATATATATATATATATATATATATATATATATAGGGATGTCCATTTGTCTAGATCTTAAAATTTTAAACGGAAGTTGTATAATATTGAAGAAATTCCTGTTCTTTTGAATATATTTTGATATGACATATTACTTACCCTAATATATGTATTCATTATAATTTTAAGCTGAAGTAATTTTCTAATGTTTACAAGACACAAGAAGACGATAAGTTTATTAGTTTAACTCTCAACAACCTTCATTCAAGGGTAATAATTGTACAATTATGAATGATCACAATCCCTAACCCATTCCATACACTTCGTGCTGTTGATAAATTCTTATGAAACTAGAATACTCAACTGAATGCATTTTGATTTATTTATCATTATTTTGTTTGTTTTTTGTCAGCAAAGTGTTCCCGGAATTTCATCCAACTTTGTGCCTAATGGGGCTCATTTGTTTGAAATTAAATTGGTTCTTGCCAAATAAAAATGGACTGATAATTTTGCTAGCTCCAATTCTGATTAAGTAATATTGCAAATAATAAATTTAGAATAGTTTCTTTCTTATTAATCAACATCATTAAATGATTAACGTTACGTTTATTTCTTGTCAAATTATTTATAAATAATTTCCACTACTATCCAATCATTCATCATTCCTACCTAGATTCAGTTTGTATCATCGTAAAACTTCGTTCAGTGTACTAGTTACTAGTTTTCTATAACCTTGATTTAGTAATATTCCGTAGAGTTTATTCTTGTATTAAATTTAAATTTTTTCTATAATCGTCTTATTTTTTTATTTACATTGGAGGAATTACTGTGGTATATATGTGTTCGATGTCGTATTGAGTTCCTGGCGTTTGAAAATTTGAAAAAAAAAAATTTTCTTGGAAAATGTTTGTTGAACGATGTCTATAGTTTAATATGGTTTATTGTTGATAATTTGTAAGAGTATTGTTATGAAAAGGGAGAAAAAAAAAGAAAAGAAAAGAAAGATATGTCATATATATATATATTAAAAAAATAGAATAATGTAATATAATAGTAATGTCCATATGGATTGATAAGTATGCTATGTATGAAGCAACCCTATGTAGTAGGGCAGCATTACTTTTAATAAAGTATTTCTCTCTAGTAGTTTTAGTAGGTAATAATTATTTTCTGAAATTTATTCTATAAACCAATTATTTTTACTCTCGTGCATGATTCATTAAACATCAAGATCTTAAGGGAAACAAATCTATATGCTCAAAAATACAATACTGAAGATTAATATATATAGTTTTTCTAATCCTGTGTAGATTAATCCACTATTTCATATAATAATAAGATTATAGATAAATCTATCTATCTACATCTATTTATATTTCTATATAAATTCATATTATTGATTATAGTTTTATGTTGTCAAAGTACCTGATACGAAAATAAAATTTTTTGACTTCGATGAAAAAATGAATTTTATTAGAATGGTGGCTTAACATAAATTTAAAATTAGATGTGATACAGACACTCACATACACATAAAACAGATATTTTGTTGGACCATCATAAGAAGATTTTAAGATTTTAAAAAATTTTAAAATCATGTTTTTCTAAGCATTGATAAGGTAAATAGCATATTTATAAAAGATATACTTATATATGTTTGTTAAAGTACATTTAGAAATTTGGAAAATGTAATTGTGATAAATTTTGAATAATATGGTTTTGAAGATGGGGATTATTTGCAAAATTTAATCTATGATTGAATAATTTAATTAATCAAGAAAAAAGTAAGGAAGTTTTGAATACCTCTAAAAACCTCTAAAAAAACTCAAAATGCACGAGTTCGCGGTTGAATGATTAAACATGAATAACATTATTCATTTATTCTTTGCTGTAGAAATACAGACAAATTCACAAACAATGAAATTAAACCAACATGATTACGGTTTTAACTCAATTTTTGATACAAATAGAGTTGACAAATATTTTTCTTAAATTATTGTCGAGTTTAACTTTAATTTATGATTTAAGTTTAAGGAGATAAGCTACAGCAATAAAATGAAATTGTGCAACAAAAATATTCAACTTAGCTAAATATTTTCAGTTTTGAAACTTGAAACATTTTTAAGAATGAAAATTATTATTATGAATTACGATTTATGAAAAGATTATTGAACTTTCCTATTATTTCATACATCAATACATTAGATTATTTCATACATTATTTGTATAAGATACAAAAATGATTGCATGTGCATGTATACATAATTTTGCCTTCCTACAAACATATAATATACATACTAGCAATTATTTACACATAAGAATATCTTAAATATTGTTACAAACATAAGTTTGTTTTAAATTGTTCTTAAGAATTAAATAAATTCATAAATAAATGAATTACGTTGATAAACATACCTTAATTAAGGATAACGAATCATATTTAAAATACTAATGATTCCTTGATTACATTGTAAATAACTAACGGAACTTTATTGGTAACAGGTTGTGACATTATCAGTATATATTTACTTCATGGCAGCACTCATTGGGAGGCAATTCGTCACTCCAGTGGCAGGAGCCAACCTCATTGACAACATAGACATCTATTTTCCAGTAGTTACTGTACTTCAGGTAAGAAAAGATTGAATTGTAATTACATTTAATTATAATAAATAAATAACAAAAAAACATGGTTGTTTGGTCTATGTGATGTAGACCAGATATTGGAGGGTAAATAAAATTATAATAAGTATCTGTATGGAATGCTCGTTTTCAAAATTCAATATTAGTATCTATTTGTCCAAAAACAAACCATTCATTATTAATATATATTTTTTTTTACTATTATTTTGTAATTTTTTTTCAGAAAAAAGTTTAGCGAGCGCTAAATATTACCCTGTATAATGTGGACTTTAATGTGGTTAAATTGATTCATAAAATCCTATAAAATGAAATTATTACATAAATAAAAATATAAATTAATAAAATTTTTGAGTGTTTCACCTTTAATCTGACGACAACGATTGCGCAAATTAATTCTATTATTTTAAAAGATAAAATAGGAAAATATAAATAAAAAATTGAAAGTAAAATTACAATTCTGCAGATTCGTTCATGATTTTTTTCAGACGAATAAAGAGAAATTTAAATTTCGTATTAATTTTTTAAAACTTAAAACATGATTCTGTTCATTCGGCCTTCCTCCACCAGGTTGTCTTTTAAAACATCATGAATTTTTTATTTATTCAGAAAAACTAAATACATAATTATTCGACAGTTAAATATACCATTAATCTTGTACTTGACCATTTTCTCAAACTCAATTGTGGAGTCAATTTTTTTTTTATTAATGCCAATGTTAAAAGCCTCCAACACCGTAACTCGAACTCGTAATCTTCAGGTTATAAGGTTTATTCCCCTCTAGATTATCCCACAACTGTACAGGAACTAATCTGTGTATAGAATGGGAGATCAATAAAATAGTGAAGCCTTGTAGAAAATCTTTTTTTTTTCTTGTTTCAGGAGTTAATCCCTGAACGATATTAATATTGTTGAACCAACTTAAATTACTATTACATTTAAGAGAAGAATGGTTGCTGTGATAAGTAAAAAAAAAAAAGTAAAAATAAATTAGTATATTTATTTTTATGTTTCCCGACGTTTCGACCCAATAGGTAATGAGAAACTATATAATAGGAATAGTTCCTTACCTACTTTATTTTACTTTAAGTTTATTCTACCTACATTTTAGACTATATCTTTCATCTACATATTAATTGTTTATTATTTAATGTTTATAGCTTCTCATACCTATTGTTATCTGTTTCTTTCTTAGCCCTGACGGAGGCCTGAACTTTGAGCCGAAACGTCGGCAAAAATAAATATACCTATTTATTTTTACTTTTTTTTTTTTTTTTTTTTGTTTGACCATCTCAACCATTCTTCTCTTCAGTTATTCACTACAGTCAATTAATTATCTACAATTGTAAATTATTATTAAATGTTTATTTATTGCCACTGACAGGTAAAATCGGCATTATTGATTACTACTGTTTTAATAACTCACTAAATTAAATACCTTCTAAACAGTTGAGAAAGAAGCTAGGGCAGATCCTGAAAGAGATTTTGGAAGACTTTATGGTCGCTAAGATGCTCCATAAATTTGATTCAATCCCTGATTCAGATATGAACTCATTTCAGAGCTAAATGGTGCAAGTGAGATCCTGATCTGGTATCTTGCACTCAGCTGTGAATGAGATACAACTCCCTTCATTAGCCTTGTATAATATAGGCAATAATTATTCCAATTTAATTTGGATTGGGGATCCAAAATGGAGAGGTTACTAATTAGGACAGGACTGGTGAAAATATTGATTTTCTAAAAAGTACACAGAGAAAGTGAGCATTCTGAGAATTGGGAAATCTGGCCTGACACCATTTTGTTCTTCAAGTGTCTTTCAACTGGATGCAGTGGAGGGTTTACGCACAGCCAGACGACGCGATTGTCTGTTCAAATGAGTTAAGATCTATAAAAACGAATCATTTAATGAACAATTATATTGGAACTATTATTATAATTACCAATTAAATAAATATTTAAAAATTAATTTAAATGTAGTTGGTTTGCATTTTATTATTTATTTTACAGCATTTTTTATTAGTTTATTTATTAATGTCATGCAATATGTGCATGCTTTGCTTTGTATCCCGTAAATAATGAGAAATATTTAAAAAAAATGATATTAGCCCTCAAGAGCAAGAGTTCATATACAAAAGGTGGCATACACCCTGATCCAACATTCCCATACAAAACACCGGTCCAATTTCGTTTTTATTTTCACTTAACTATTTATGAAATATATAGTAAAGAAAAGTATTGCGATCGTGAAATTTTCGAACCTCAGTTTTTAACGGAAACATACGTTTTGAAGTCCCCTGAGTCCAAATAACCAAGTGCCGCAAAATGATCTGGGTATGTGTATCGGTGTATATGTGTGTGTGTGTGTGTGTTAACAGTCTAGCTCAAAAACGAAAAGTCTTTAAAAAGTGAAATTGCATGTTTAAGGTTCTTATATGCCTTGGATGTTACAGAACACTTTTTTTACGATTTTCTCGAAAATGGCTCTAATGATTTATATTAAAGTCATTATATCAGTGTAAAATTAAGCTGTTTTTAATATAGTGTACGTTTTATTCTCATTGATGTTTTCTAACAGGGCTTAAATGGCTAATATTCAGTATTACCTTCCCCTAAAGTGTCTTTAATTTTTTTTATTTGAAACAATTAACCATTTCACATTAATATCTGATATAAAAAACAGTTAAATACAGAATATGAAAGCATTTCATTGCTAATGTCCTGCCTTGAATCGGACCGTGGTCTACATAAACTTTTCTGTTGGTTCTTCGGTCTGCTATCACCTCTATAAATATTTCCTATTATTTATGGGAAGCCATGTATTGCAAATATATTTATAATTATCTTTCTATAATTAAAAATTGTAGCAGTAAAAAAAAAGTTGGAAATATTACTGCATATAAGTCAACAAAATGGACAATGACTTGAGGACATGTTCTTTTTGTAGTTTTGTTTCTACATCGGATGGTTGAAGGTTGCTGAAGTGCTCATAGGTCCATTTGGCGAAGACGATGACGACATCGAATTGAACTGGCTCATCGACAGGCACATCAAGGTAACACTTGAAATATTTTCCTTATTGTTTAATCAATGCAAATACCCGCCTCGCTTAGGATCACTATTTATATACTTAGAGCTTCTATTTTTAGGTTTGATGAAACATAAATCTACAATTTATCTTTACATCTCTGTTACGCTAATAACTAAACATAAATCAGATGTAATTATTTTCTTATTTTAATTTAGGCTTTGTGCTCATCTATAGCAAAAATTTAATTTTTTTTGTTATACTTTAGATATTTTGGTTAATTATTTTCAATAATGAACCATTGTAATCGAACGAAAACTTAACACCCTCTCAAAATTTGAGATTTTACGTTTCAGGATACATAAAATTCGAAACACAAATAAAAATTCTTTTGTCCGTTCGCCGTTCGCTCATTTTCTCTGAAACTACTCTACAGATTTTTTTCAAATTTAGATTTAAAATCAGAGGTCGTCCGAGGATGATCTTCCTTCATCGACATTACTATCCGCCTTTTACTTCAAAATGGCGGCCGATAAACCTGCGTTGCTATAGATTGTAAAACGAACGTACCGATTTCAATAAAACGTGGCTAAAGTCTGCTTCTTGAAGCCCTTTAAATGTATCTATATAACATACTTCGACTAAAAGAAACTGAAAAAAAAAGTTACGAGAGATGGTAAAATTAGATTCCGAATAACTCAAACAGTATACACTTTGTTGTTGATATTGCGATACGATGTTTCAAAAATATTTAAATTTCTTAAACAACGAAGAAAGCATCATCGAAATCAGAGAACTATAAGTGAAGAAATCGCGATTTTTAACTATTTTTGGTTTGTTATTTTCAATAATGAACCATTAGTAATAAAACAAAAAATTCAAAATTTTTAAAATAATTAATATATAATAATAAATTCCGAATAACTCAAACAGTATACACTTCTTCGTCGACATCGTATATGGTTTATTAAAAGTTTAGGAAATATCCTTAAAAAATAAAAATAATAAATAAACGTTAAAATCGGACAATTAGGAGCAAAGATGTTGTTTCTAGATGTTTTTTATGCTCTACTGTAAATCCTTCGTTTTGGATTTTGATTTCTCAAAAAAAATAAATAGTGACAAAAGGGTCAACCAAAAAGTGAAATAATAATAATAATATGAGAGCAAACAAAATAAAAAACACTAACTGATTAAGCTATTATACATGGAAGTGATTACATTCAAGTGATATATCATGTCGATATGGATAGTTAGAATTAGGCCGTTGAAGCGAGATATACAATCTATGTAACTTATCGAACTTGACCGATCGTTGACGTTTTGACAAGCAATGACCAATCAGTTATTTACTATATTTGGAATACTCAAGGCTTTGTTTGGAATCTTCTAATAATAATAAAAACAAATAAAAAAAAAAAAAATTTATTAAATTTTTTTTCAACTCATGGAACATCCGAGTGATTTAATTTTTAAGGAATTCAGTCACATTATCATGAGCGTTCAAAAAGTTGAGAAATGTATAGTGATATATTTTATTAGGTACTTGTTTTCCAATACAATTGAGAACCTACTGAATTCGTAAGGCGCATTGTAGATTCTTTAGGTATTCTATAAAAAACTATTATTAAAACAGAATTTTCATTTGTTATTTCATAAATCATAACAGATTGTTGTACATTTATTAATTTCATTTCACTAATGGACTATAATAACTATGAACTATGCAGCTGATTAGAATTAATAGAATGCCGAGGCTTGATAGCCAAGAGCGATATTCCATACACAAGACCTTCAACTAACAGAATGCCATTTATCTTGGAACACTGGGCAACCGTTGTAGTAGTAAACTACACACCTTTCACTGAACATGCTTGAAGACTGTAGTGCACAGCATAGTATAGTAACATTGAAATATGCCTATTCATGCAGTCTTTGCTCGTAATTAGATATCTTTGAGAACACATTATTACAGAGCAGTTTACAAGATTAACTTATGGTATAAGTTACATATCATTCTAGTTAAACAATAATATTTGGTAACTGTAATAATTATTACCTTATTATATTGGTTGTCCTAATAATGAAAAATCATTAATACTTTATAATTGGTAATTGGTTGACTGTCGTGGATAATGAAGAGAAGAATAGTTGGGGTGCTCAGTCAAAAAAGGAAGGTAAAAAATAAATTATAATATTTATTTTTTACATATGCCGACGTTTCGACCTGAAGTTCAGGCCTTCATCAGGGCTTTCTCCTTAAGTGTCAAGGGGAGAATAATTCTCCCCTTGGCACTTAAGGAGAAAGCCCTGATGAAGGCCTGAACTTCAGGTAGAAACGTCGGCATATGTAAAAAATAAATATTATAATTTATTTTTTACCTTCCTTTTTTGACTGAGCACCCCAACTATTCTTCTCTTCATTAATACTTTAAATTACAGTTTATTACCAAGACACTATAAAATCGCCAACATAACGATAAATTTATAGTTAAATGTATTTAATAATTAATTTATCAATATGAATATTTCGCGTATATTAATGTTTTTAGTGCATATGCGGATGTATTCAAATTTTTTATGAAGTATTCTTTCAAAGGTTAAAGTCGACTATAGTCTATCGTACTGAACCTTTTTTTTCTTCAAATTAATAACATCCCCCTAAAACTTCGTGAACAGCTTCATCTCATCGTAACGTAGAACTTTTTCATTTACGAAAATCCTCGGAATTAGGGCGTTTTCAATCGAGAGATCGGCAAACTTTTTCTATTTAATTAGGTACTAAATAATCATGAACACCAATTTATTTTCCATGTGAAGCATCAACAAAATCGAGAATAAAGGTAGAAGATTATTGGGCCGTTTGGTGCGACCTCCACCCCCAACATGTCAAAATAACGAGGTTTTTCAAAAACATGCCAAAATGGCTCAATATTTTTGTACGCCACTTTATTTTCTATTTTGTGATCAAATTAAATTACAATTCAGGGGTAAAGCAAATCTGTATTTATTAACTTTTTTTTCGGTTGGCATTATAGACCACATAGGTCTTTTGTCGCCTTGACAAGCCTGCTCCACTCTGGGCTATTTCTTTCCATTTATCTGCACGCAGCTCTATTGCATCTTTGTTGATTATATCAACCCATCTGCATTTTGGCCTTCCACGTTGTCTTTTACCTTCTATAGAGGTATTCATTGTTACTTAGAGGCTTCCAGATGGATTGCTACGAGCTACATGCACCGCCCATCTTAACCTCCATGCCTTCATATCATGTGATATTGATTGACGAATTTCTGTAAGCAGTTCTTTATTTATGTTTCTTCTCCATGTGTTGGTATTCTGATCCCAGATCGCTCCGGTTTTCTCTCAAATCTTTCAACACTTTTTTCTAGGGTGCTGGTTAGTGTCTTATTTGTTAACTAGTTAAATTAAATAATTTAATAAGGAAACGCTCCATTTCGGAGAATATTTAGATAAACAATTGTAGGTTACGATAAGATAAATCCATTTACGAAGTTTTAGGCGGATGATTAATATTAATAATTAATAGTTTGATAAAAAGGATCTGTACCACGGACTACTATTGCTTTACGTATGTAGGTAAATGTATAATTTCAAATAGGATTCGAAAGGATAATTTTAATTTTATTTTGTGTCAAAAGTGTGACAAAACACCTCAGACAGCCATACACTTAATACTAAAATGCCTCCAAGTTGAAATAAAATAAACAAAGTTATCCCCAAAATTGAAGGAAATAATGCGAGAAAATGATGAGGATGTTGTCCCTGTTTTCCAATATTTAATTGAAACCAAGTATTATAAAAAAATACAAAAACATACCGCGAATGAGCCTCTTGGATAGAAGCGAATAATAATGAGAAAAAAAAACTATTTTTTTAAACTTTCGGTATGACTGGAATCTTTATTTGAAATGTTTTTCTGTTATATCGGAACTAGAAAGTTTTCACTTGCAAAATATCAAATAAATGAATTTTTATTGTTAAAAAACTTTTTTTATAAGTTCTGTGGTGATTTTGCCAATAACTCTATCTAAAAAACGACTTTTATTTTTAGCTACTTGAACAGACGACATCTTTTAATTTATTTAAGATAAATTATAACTCTAATATAAGCCCAATTTTTATTTATTTCTAATTTAGCGTAATTTAAAACAAATTAAATAAATAAAAGTTAAATTTTTACCAGAAACTTAGAACCTTACTATAAAAAGTTCTTTAGAACTTTTCTTTTAAGAAACTCTATCATGAAAAGGTTCACAGGAACTTTTGAAATTGAACTATTGAAAAAACTTTCCACACTGATTTAAAGACAACTCGGTCATCTATTTTAAGTCGGTGAATTCTACAGCGGGAGTGGTTTTCAGATTAATTAAATAGAAGGACGGTAGCTACATTAATAAAACAATAATACAATTTTCATTGTACATATAATTAAGAATTATTGTTGTACAAATGAAGTGTTTAAAAAAAAAAAAAAAGAACATTTTAATTATTGTTGCCCGAAATCGGCACTTTGCAAGACCAAGACCAAGGCTGGCCAAAAAACAAAAGTTTTTGTGAATAAAAATTAAAGCAAACTTGACAATTTTAGTTAATATATGTAAAGAATTGGCATAACCAATACACTTTTGCATTTAACTCTTTCAATTTTTCATTTAGGCTTAGTTAGGTTTCCCCTATCTGAAAAATTACAGTAATATATCTATAGTAATAAGCTAATGGGTAACTGCAAGACTCTTGCGCAAGACCAAGTCCAAGATCAAGATTGAGTATGCAAAACCAAGACTCGTCTTGGTCTCACATTTGGGCTACACTAATTTTAATGAATAACCATTCTTGGATTCACCAGCGAAAAATATATTATTTTTGCTCTGGTTGATTAATACTATTCAATTTCTAATGATATTTTGGCGATTTGAAAGCCTGCGCCCAAAAATTCCCAACAGATGCCAGGAGGAAAGTTCTAATCATCCAATCATATCGGAGATATGCTAAAATGATATAT